CCTTTAGCACATCAATAGCAACACGTACATAGGACGCAGGGAATCGCATATTATGTAGTATGTCTCCTAGCAAATTAAACACCCAACCGATAGCAACCAAATGACAATTTTGGCTATTTGCCAACAACTCACATAGGCTCTCACCCTATATTAATAAGTAATATACTATATTAAAATTATGAAAAATAGAAATAGTGAAATATAAGTGAAATAAATTAATAATATTTTACCTTAGGGAGATTTTTAATAGGCTGTATGACATTGTAACTACCTTTCCCGCTAGGACTAATATGAAACTTTGCCTCCCTTCCTTCCTTGTCCTTTAGCAAAGCTTCAATCATGTCCCGTTACCTAGATAGCTCCTCTTTTAGGGTGGCAATCTCAGCCCTTACATCCCCATCCTCTGTTAACCTTGCCTTCTTCTATAACCCGAATATTTTTTTTTGAAACACCAGAGCCATATCCCCTAACTCAACCAAGGTGTTTAGGATTACTTGATGCCTTGCCCAAGATATCATCATCAAGTGTGCTACTTTTCTTGATCTTGGCCTGTGCAATATATAGTAAGAAAGTTAAATTAGTTGATTGAGTATAAAAAAATGTTAAGTTAGTATATTTATACACTTGTCGGCAAGCTCCTAAACACGTTTATCAATAATATTTCCTTCTTTATTGATTCGGCCTTCTATGAAGAGTCTATGATGTAAAACTAAGCTTGCCCATGAACCCTCTCGCTCGATCTATGAATTTCAATAAATTTGAATGTGAGTATAGTACATATATCCATGAAATAAGCTAAAATTTTATAGTATGAATATTAACTTACCATTTGTTGTTCAATTCCTGCATATCCTATGTACTCCTTCTTATAAGAGTGTAGATCTTTCTCATGCAACTCTTTCTTTTGTGGCTAAACTCCTATACAAAACATATAGAATCATATCAATAAAATTAAATATATCGACAATAATAAAAATTTAATTCATCTCATTGTTCTTACTTGAAATTGTTCCTCAAGATATTAAACAACAAATTCATCCCACTGTTCTTGTGAAACTAATGGCCTTATCAAGTTGAGGACCTCAGCACTAATGTTTCCTCCTGATTTTTTAATGTATTTTGCTACCACAAAATATTGAAATATCTACATTGTCTTCTAGCTTATTGGATGACAAATTTTATCTGATTGGCATCAATTGCAAATGCTGACTGTAAACTAAGATAATTAATTAGATTTTCAGTCAAGTAATTTCAATTAACTACAATGATGTAAGTAAAGTATTTTACCTCTACTTGCTCCTAAATATAATTTTTTGTAGCTGGAATAACATTGTTCCAATGCCTAATTGTAATCGACATATTTGCTTTTGCCACAACCCCTATGTAGCTGATGAATTTATTTCTGTTGGTCTTGATAGGTTGACCTTTGAGATTCCATTCAACTTCATATTTCTATCCAGTAGCCTATTCACCTCGGTCATCAATGTGAATCCTCTTGTTATTTGATTTGCTTCTTGCTAAATTTGCTAGTCACTCATCTCAATGCTAGGATCAGCACTGCTATGTCCACTAAGACCAGCACTCTTTTGAGAAGCCATTTACCTACAAAAGTAGAAAAAATAATAAATAAAAATGTAAAAAAATAAAGCACATAATAATTAATTTATCGGTTTAATGTAAATCACACATTATAAAAAAATATAACACATAATAAATAACAATAAATTTTTAAATAATACAAAACAAGTAACCTACTGGTTTAAATTGTTCTTTTTCTTTTTCTTGTACATTCTTTATCTTTACTCTCCTTCTTTGCTCAAATATTTGGATCTCTTGCCAACCATTTTAATTTCTCAAAAACTGTAAAACTCTTATTATGCTTGTTTATGTACCAAATCTCTAATCTATTAGTGTTATCCCACTTAATGTAACATTCTAAGTTTCCCTAATTATCAATATTTTCAAGGGCAATTTGGTCAATTTAGATAAATTGTTAATTTAGTGAGGGTTAAAGGAGACTAATATGGTTTTTGAGTTCTTATATGCCTTTAAAGAGGGCTAAGTCAATGCTCAAGTAAGCCATGGCATGGAAGGGAGTTTTTTAAGGGATGTTCTGTGTCGTGGTGCACGTGCAAAATCTGTAGTTATCAGATCACGAATTAGACTTGAAAAACAGAAGAGAGAAATAAGGAACTCAAGAGTAACGATGAAGAGAGACTTAGGGCTACTAGGGCTTGCTTCCAACGTGATTTCAGGGGCCTTTCTAGCTTCATATACATTGGGTAAGCCTTCCTTTCTTCTCCATCTCCCTCATTGTGTGAAAGTCTAAATTGGTGGGCCAATGGAGGCTTTGATTTTGGTTTCCTTGGGTTTAAACCAAACCCAGTTATTTATTTAAGGTCTTGGAGATTTAAATCAAGCCTCGAACCCTAAGTTTATGAGTTTTGTGGTGATTGTGAATTTTTGGTAAGGGTTTGGACGAACCTTAGGTATAATTTGAGAATTTTGAAACAATGTGGGACATTAATTAGTGAATTTAGTGTATTGGGATATTTAATAGGATGGTTAGAGTGGGTTGGACTGGTTGATGTTGTTAGAAAAAGGAATTTAAGTATTTTAGACAATTAGAACCTATAATTCGGAGTTATCCAGAGTGATAATTGATGATTGTTACTTATTGGTATAGATTGAGCATTGCTTGAGCCATATCATACGTTTAGAGCATGTGGAGCTCACATTGAACCATGGTAACCCTTTTGTGTGTGAAAAAAGTTGAGATAACAGAATAATTTACATTGATTGATTATGTTACCTAAATGTTTGTGAGTAAATATGTTGATATGAACTTGAGATTTAGTAATCTTGCATATTGCGAAATGTGATTTTTGTGCATGAAAAATATGCAAATTATAAAGCATGATAAAAACTATATATATGAATAAGTTGAGAAATTTGTAATGTATATGTGATATATATGTTGAGTGTGGGCATGATCATATTAGGGGGTGGGAGTTCACCCATAGGAAGGAATAGTGAAAGTCCATATGGCATGTATCTCCTTAGTATTTAGTGAGGCAAGGTGTTGAAGATTTTCTCGTTATTATCCATGTGAGATATGGCATTATAGAGTAACGCTCCTTAGCATCAATGATGTGGTGTTGGAGTAATGACACCCCGATTCATGTGCGATAAGGGGAAACCATAGTTTCAAAATGGGATAGGACACTTTAGGCTGGGTGATCCTACCACTGAAGGTGAGCTTGGATCATGTGAATATGCACTTGGTCCAAGAGCCTATAGTTTTGGTTGGGGTGATATGAAGGCTCGAATGGTAGAATGATCATGCTAATAGTAAAGGATTTATACTGATAAAAAGAATATATGGTGATATGCTAAACATATATTTTTAAAGTTTCATAGTTTTACTCTTTTATGGTTGTGCATGTTAATTAATAGTAGTGAATTATTCTATTACTTAGATGTTTATCTCACCCGTGGTTATATTTTACAGGTGGGAGCTCCAATAGGGGCAAGGGGAAGGAAGCGGTAATTGAAGAGTAAAGGGCATTGTAGTATAGATCTTCCCTTTCTCTTTTTGATTTTGTAATGAATATTGCCACTATATATTGCCAACTTAAGAACATGACATTATTTGGCTTGTATAAATTTTGTGATAAGCATGTATATCTTGGTTTAAGATTGATGTTATGAATTAAGTATGTGCTTGGCCAAGTTGCTTACATGTGATATATATATATATATATATATTTCAAGTGTATTGTGTGCCAAAATGGCTAATTGATTTGTACGTTGAATTTTTATCCGCCCCGTTATATTATTGTCAAATGGGGCTTTGGTGGTCATTTTGAGCATGATTGCTTAATTGTGTGATATGAATGAATTTTCATCTTTTGTTTGGTCCATTGGAGGTGGTCAGAGTGTCTTTAGGGCTAATGGCATTTGGTATTGTGAATTGGACAACCTTATGTGTGTTTTGAGGTGAAAACGAACCATTTATGATTCTAGTGTCTATCTTTTAAATGGATTATTGTTTGAGTGTGAAACTAATACCATTAGCTAGAGGGCTCAAAGTGCTTCGTGTGGACACTTGAACTGCTTAAATTAGATGTCGGATGGTGAAACTACGTGCTTCGAAAGTTCGGAGGGATGTGATGACATCAATCTGTTGTCATGATAGTAGGTGTGTGCCATGACACATGGATGTTGTGCCACGATCCATAGGGCCTTCGAGGGACTTATCCCTCTGTGCCATCCATCGTGGTGGATTGGCCAGAATTTTTAAAAGTGGCTTGTCTTAGCCTAACTAGATGGGATTTGTTGTCCATGTTTGCTCTTAATTGATTTTTAACTATGGTTTGAGCTTAAGCTATATTTAGAAAAGGGTTTTCTTGGGATCCCAATGTTTTAAATTATTTATCTTTAAACCCTTAAGTTATGGTAACTTCTTTAAGGGATTTTATTTAATCCTAGTTATCACAATAATATGTAAGTGTTGTCCTGGTAATGTCAAGGTGGACATTATAATTTGATATCAGTTTCAAGTATTCCAAGACTGGTATGTGTACTTGTTGTATTGGTTGGTTTTCTTGTTGCATTCATGTTTAGCAGTTGGCATATATATTCATTACACTTACCTTCCCTTTACATATTTACTTCATTTAACACTTACTATTTTTATGGTTATTTTCATCCTTAGAAGGGGAGAGAGGATGGCCAAGAAGAAGAACTGCCAGAACGGCTACAGGTAGTAACCCATCTAATATAGATGTGGTACCAGAAACTAATGAGCTACCACTAGAGAATCACATTTCAGTTGGTCAGAACTTAGAACAACCGAGGAATGAGCCATAGTGTAATGAGGCCTTGCTATTGGAGATGAGGAATTTATTACAAGAAATACGTAATTCGGTGTGGGACAAGGTACACTGAGGAACGATAGGGCAAGAGGAGACAATAGAATAATTAAGAATAAAGAAGAAATGTATGAGCAAGAAGATAAAGTTTATGAGGAGAGCACACCTAAGCAATCTCGAGCTGTGGGTGGTAGTGGTTCACAGAATTTTATAGATCGAGCATGGAAAAATTTCTCACAGCTTTATCCGCCTACCTTTGATGGAACAATGAAGGAGGGTGAAGTTGAAGAGTGGATCAAAAGAATTGAGACAATATTTGAAGTTGTGCTATGCTTAGAAGAGTAGAAGATGACTTTAGCCTCAGTATTGCTTATAAAAGAGGCTAAACATTGGTGGAAGTTGATGAGACCGACGAGTGGAGTCAAGTGGACATAGGTTGAATTTAAAGTGATGTTTTTCAACTTCTACTTCCCAATGGCTTTTAAAGTAGAGAAAGAGGCCGAGTTCCACGAATTCAAGCAAGGAAATCTAGATGAAGAAGCTTTCATCGCCAAGTTCAATTAATTGTCAAAGTACCCTACTTATCTTAAAAAAATGATGACTCGAAATGGAAGTTGAGAGGCTACTTGAAAAGATAAGACCTGAGTATAAACAACAGTTGGCATTGTTTGAGATCACATCTTATGATGAGATGTGCAATAAGTTGAGAATAGTTGCAAGAAGGGGCAGAGATTGAGAAGAGAAGGGATAGTTAGGGTAAATTCTCACAGTCGCTTGGCCCTACCGGTGGAGTTAGCAAGAGATCCGATTTTAGCTCCAGTAGTTCTGGGAGCTTTGGGAAAAGGAAGACTTTTCAAATGGGATCGCAGTCCTGAGGTTCCTTCCAAAAGAGCAGTGGACTAAAGAACAGTGCCAGTGGTGCACAGCCATCTCAGTAAGCTTCCACAATACCTGTACCTACTCTTAGTACAGCCAGAACCCCACAGTGCTCGAAGTGTAGGAGATATCATGTGGGAAAGTGTTGGGTTTGCTTCAAGTGTGGCAAGACAAGGCACATAGCCAAATATTGTGAAGAGGGCAAAGTAGGTACCACAGAGTAGAGATTGACTGTTCCTAGGAGAGTATTCATGTTGTCCCAAGAGGAGGCAAATGCATCTCTAAATTTAATCAGAGGTAAAATCTCTCTATACAAATGTGATATAGATGCTTTATTTGATACAGGTGCTACCCATTCTTGCATTTTTAATGTGTCTATGCTAGCAGGAATTTCTGTAAGAACTGACTGTGCTTATCTAGGTGTTGATTTGAGATTTGAGAATAGATCAACCACCATTGACTTGATCTATCTGCCCATGATTGAGATTGATGTAGTAGTAGATATGGATTGGTTGTCGACAAATAATGTGACACTAAATTGTGCAAAAAAAATAATATCCTTGCCAGTGTATACTGCACCTACAGTGACACCCAGTCAGTCAAGATTCTTGTCTATAATACAAGCAAAAAAGTACATTCAACAGGGTTGTCAGGCATATATGATGTTCTTTTTCGTTCACGCTACTTATGATGAAGGAATTGAGAGAATTGAAGTGGTGAACGAATTCCTTAAAGTATTCTCAAAAGAAATGTCTGGATTACTGCTTGAGCAAGAGATGGAATTTTCTATTGACCTTATACCTGAAACAGAACCCATATCAAAAGCTCCATATCAAATGTCTCCATCAAAGTTGGCAGAGCTAAAGAAACAACTAGAGGAATTACTAGAAAAAGGGTTCATAAGACTAAGTATGTTCGCATGAGGATCACTGATGTTATTTGTGAAAAAAGGATGGTAGTATGAAACTTTGCATTGACTACAGACAGTTGAACAAAGTAACAGTTAAGAACAAGTATCCTTTACCCAGGATTGATGATTTGCTAGATCAATTGGTTAGAGCTACGGTGTTCTCAAAGATTGACCTATGATCAAGCTATCATTAATTGCGAGTTAAGGTTAAGGATGTCCCAAAGACTACCTTTTACACTAGATATGGTCACTATGAGTTCCTAGTGATGCCATTTGGATTGACAAATGCTCCAACAATGTTTATGGACTACATGAACAAAATCTTCCATCCTTAGTTGGATAAGTTTGTGGTAGTATTCATTGATGATATTCTAATTTACTCAAGAGATGAGGAAGAGCACGCAAAGCATCTTTGTACTATCCTGCAACTTTTAAAGGATAATAAATTATATGCCAAACTCAACAAGTGTGAGTTTTAGCTAAGGAAAGTGAGATTCCTTGGTCATGTGGTGTCGGCAGAAGGAATTTTTATAGATCCACACAAGGTAGATGTTGTGTTGAAATGGGAACCACCTACCTCAGTGACAAAGATTAGAAGTTTCTTGGGATTGGCAGGCTACTATTGATGATTCATTCAGGAATTTTCACAAATTGCATCTTCTTTAATTAAGTTGACTTAAAAGGATCAGCCGTATGTGTGGACCGATAAATATGAATCGGCATTTCAAGAGTTGAAGCAAAAACTGACATCGGCTCTAGTACTGGTTATTCCTAATCCTTGATTACCATATATGATTTATACAGATGCATTATTGAAAGGTTTAGGGTGCATTTTAATGCAAGATGATCGAGTTGTTGCTTATGCCTCAAGAATATTGCGACCGCATGAGGAAAATTACCTAACGCATGATCTAGAGTTAGTAGCAATGGTTTTTGCCTTAAAAATTTGGCGACACAATCTTTATAGGTCTATGTTTAAAGTATTTAGCAATCACAAAAGTTTGAAGTACTTAGTCAATCAGAAGGAACTGAACATGAGGCAATACAGATGGATGGAATTTCTTAAGGACTATAACTTTAAGATCAAATATCATCCGGGTAAAGCCAATGTAGAGGCAGAAATGCTAAGCAGGAAAACGGTGCATGTTGCTTATATGATGGTTCAAGAGCATCGATAACTTAAGACTTTCTTATATACTCAAAGGAAAGCACCTCAGATGACATTGTACAACATGCATTATACAATCATAACCAATGAGTTTTGGAAAGAGTTGCGAACTGCTCAGTTTGAGGACAAGTATCTACTTGGGATGCGTGAGGATATTAAAGAGAGGAGACCTATAGAATTTGAATTTAATAATGATGGATATGTGACTTATCAAGACCAGATTTGCGCACCGAGTGATAAGGAGATAAGGAAGAAAATCCTAGAAGAAGCACACCGTAGTGAGTATACTATTCACCCTAGTGTCACTAAGATGTATCAGGATATGAATAAAATATGATGGTGGCCAAGAATGAAGAAAGATGTGACAGAGTTTGTGACTAAGTGTCTGACGTGCCAAAGGGTTAAGATTAAGCACCAAAGGCCTAGTGGTGTGTTGTAACCACAAGAGATCCCAGAGTAGAAGTGGGATAGCATATCAATAGATGTTATCATTGGATTCCCTAAAACTCAATGCAATATGGGTAATTGTAGATTAGTTGACAAAGTCAGTGCATTTCTTAATAGTTGAGACTACTTATGCACTTGAAAAGTATGCGAGGTCTATGTAATTGAAATAGTGAGACTTCATGGGGTGTCTAAGGACATTATCTCTAACTGTGATTCGAGGTTCACATTGAACTTCTGGAGAGCGTTGCAGAGAGCAATGGGCAATAAGTTGAAATTTAGCACGGCATATCATCTATAGACATAAGGCTAGACTGAGAGGACTATCTAAACACTTGAGGATATGTTACGAGCTTATGCCTTAGAGTTGAAAGGTAGTTGGAATACACATCTACCATTAGCGAAATTTACTTACAATAACAGTTTTCATTCTAGCATTAGAATGGCTCCATATGAGGCATTATATGAAAGAAGATGTCGATCACCTCTGTGTTGGACAGAATTAAATGAGAGAATTTTATTGGGTCTAGATTTGGTAGACCAAACCACCTAAAAGATCTAATTGATTAGGAAAAAGCTGTTGACAACCTAGAGTCGACAAAAGAGCTACGTGGATCGACATAGAAGACCGTTGAAATTTCTAGTTAGTGATCATGTGTTTTGGAGGGTCATGCTAATGACTAGCATTGGGAGATTGATAAAGGCTTAGAAATTGACTCTTAGGTTTTATGGGTCCCTTTAACATTTTAGAGAATTGGCACCTACTGCCTATCGGATTGCCTTACCACCGAGTTTATCGAGTGTTCATAATGTGTTCCATATAAGCCAGCTCAAGAAATATCAACCCGATCCTTCCCATGTTATTAAGTTAGAAGAGGTAGAACTCTAAGAAAACTTGACCTATCGAGCTGAACCAGAATGGATTATAGATGTGAAGGACCAACAATTGAAGAACAAGACCATTCGATTAGTTAAGGTTTCTTGGAAGGGTATGATTCCTGGTGATGCAACTTGAGAGATCGAGGATAAAATAGGGAAATTATATCTCAATTATTTACATAGGTATGCATTTGAGCAAGATTCTAAATTTTAAGGACAAAATTCCTAAAAGAAGGGAGAATTGTAACATCCTAAGTTTTTCCATTAGTAATTATCAGTATTTTCAAGGGAAATTTAGTTAATTTAGTGAAGGTTAAGGGAGACTAATATAGTTTTTGAATTCTTGAACAGTCTTAAAAGAGGGCTAGGTCGATGTTCAAGCGAGCCATGACATGGAAGGAAGTTTAAAATTTTGTGGGATGTTCTATGCCATGCGCCGCAGCGATCGTGTAATCTATTAGACCACACGCCTCGAGTATTGAATTCTTATTAAAAAAATGCCTTCTGTTCTTCGTGGTTGCTAACGTATGGCCGTAGGAAGAGATGTTCATACCACGATTTTTAAGAATCTTCATCTGCACCGCAAAAACAACTCAAAATAATAGAGGTATTAAAGGAGCTTGAAACCTACCATAAAATCTTCCTAAATAATCTGAATCTCAAAGATGCATACCACTTAATGGTAAGCGTAAATGATTAGGGGAGCAAAGGCACTTCCTAAACCCTACAGACGACATGCCATAATATTTTTTGTTTATCACTATTATGGGTGACACTCAGAAAACTCGAGGAGCCAAAGAGAATGGTCCTAGATAAACCATCTCATCAAATGACTCAACATATAAAGCTACTGTATATTAAGGCCAACCTAAATGGTTGCACATGCAAAATCTATACTTATCAGATCACGAATCAAACTTGAAAAACAGAAGAGAGAAATAAGGAACTTGAGAGCAGTGATGAGGAGAAACTTGGGGCTGCAAAGGCTTGCTTCCAACATGATTTCGGGGGCCTTTCTAGCTTCATATACATTGGGTAAGCCTTCCTTTCTTCTCCTTCTCCCTCATTGTATGAGAATCTAGATTGGTAGGGCAATTGGGGCTTTGATTTTAGTTCCTTTGGGTTTAAACCAAACCCATTGATTTATTTAAGGTTTTGGAGAATTAAATCAAGCTCTAACCCTAAGTTTATAAGTTTTGTGGTGATTGTGAATTTTTGGTAAGGGTTTAGACGAACCCTAAGTATAATTTGAGGATTTTGAAATAATGTGGGACATTAATTAGTGAATTTGGTGTGTTGAAATGTTTAATAGGATGGTTACAGTGTGTGGGAATGGTTGATGTTGTTAAAAAAGAATTTTAGTATTTTAGACACTTAGAACCTAGAGAATTTAGAGTTATCTAGAGTAATAATTAATGACTGTCACATATTGGTGTAGATTGAGCATTGCTCGAGCCATATCTTGTGTATAAAGTGTGTGGAGCTAACATTGAACCATGATAATCCTTTTGTGTATGTGACAAAGGGTTGAGGTAACAGAATAATTTACACTAATTGATTATATTGCCTAATTGTTTATGAATAAATATGTTGATTTGAACTTGAGATTTGGTAATCTTGCATATTGCGAAATGTGATTTTTTGTGCATGAAAAATATGCAAATTATGAACCATCATGAAAACTATATATATATATATATATGAATGAGTTAAGAAATTTGTAATGTATATGTGATATACATGTTGAGTGTGGGCATGATCATGTTAGGGGGTGGGAGTTCACTAATAGGAAGGAGTAGTAAAGGTCCATATGACATGTATCTCCTTAAAGTCTAGTGAGGCACAGTGTTGGAAATTTTATCCTTAGTATCCATACGGGGTACGGTATTAAAAAGTAATGCTCCTTAACAATACTATGATTTGTGTGCAATAAGGGGAAACTGTAGTCTGAAAGTGGGATAGGACACTTTTGGCCGGGTGTTCCTACCACTAAAGGTGAGTTCAATCATTGTAAATGTGTACTTAGTCTAAAAGCCTATAATTTCAGTCAGGGTGATATGAAGGCTCGAATGGTAGAATGATCATACTACTGGTAAAAGATTTATACTGATGAAAAGAGTATGTGGTGATATGCTAAACGTATATTTTTAAAGCTTCATAGTTTTACTCTCTTATGGTTATACATGTTAGTTGATAATAGTGAATTATTCTGTTACTGAGATGTTTATCTCACCCCGTAGTTATATTTTATAGGTGAGGGCTCAAGTAGGGGCAAGGGGAAGGAAGGGGCAATTGAAGGGTAAAGAGCATTGTAGTATAGCTCTTCCCTTTCTCTTTTTAGTTTTGTAACGAATATTGCCAACTTAGGAATATGACATTATTTAGATATTACTTGTATGAATTTTGTGATAAGTGTATATATCTTGATCTAAGATTGATGTTATAGATTAAGTGTGTGCTTGGCCAAGTTGCTTACATGTGATATATATATATATATATATATTTCAAGTGTTTTGTGTGCC